AAAAAAAAAAAAAAAAAAAAGTTGTGCCACTAAAATGTATCCTTTTTGCTGCTAAAATTCAGTGTCATTGTATATATCAGGCAAAAGTGGGAGGAAAACAGAATACATCTGGTGGGCAATTGGGTGTGTATCCCTGAATTCAAATCAATCTCCTTATTAATTAGTAAATAAAGTGTTGATGGTACAGCATTAGAGAGGGTTACATAAACATATATTTATTTTAAACATACTGTATATATTTGGCATACTTTCTCCCCCTAAAACTATTAAATTCACACACACACACACACACACACACAAACATACTGTTATATACCCTACTGTAATACTGTATATGCAGGCATAAATAACCACATTTCGTATGAATTGCAATGTTCATATCCCTTTTCTTTGCTTGTATATTTCTTTGTAAAGGAATGTAGACCTCTTAACACATAATTTGGTGTGATATTTCCCAGCAGTGATAAGTTAGGATCATTGCTCTTACATTTATCATATTGCTGTCCATCAAAATTGCTTTCTGAGTTTCTAGACCTCATTGTTATTTCAAAGTCAGTGGGAATGAGGGAACTGTACATGACTTCTTCCCAAACAGATCTTTGCAATCACTGATTCTGGCATATTCTTTGGAGAAAAAGCTGCAAAACCTAGAATATCAGTCTGAAAAACCAAGCATGGATATGACAGAACATAAGAGTTCCTCTTTGGGATTGCACTGTAATGATAACAATTGTATTTATCAGCCATTACTCACCATGAATAACAGATAAAGAAAAACTGCTTCCTGTTGGAAAATGTTGGGCAGGAAGATTTAAATGCAAATGTAAATGACTAGCATTTGCTATATATTTTGCTGAAAAACTTTCTCTTTCTTTCTTTCTTTCTTTCTTTCTTTCTTTCTTTCTTTCTTTCTTTCTTTCTTTCTTATTTATTTATATCTATTTGTAGATTTGAATTCTACATGTCTATGTCTATTAAGATAATTGGGGCAACATCTAACAATATTAACTGATATCTGATGAGTTTAGTGAAGTGGATAAAGTTCTTTGTAACATGAGTTCTGTACCTGTTGGTTTTCAGCTTGTAATTCTTATGTCCTATCGTTGTAGTGACATATGCACTCTTCCTATATCTTAGGATTCCAAAAGCCAAAAGTAGATTTGTGAATTCAAATGTAACAAGCACACAAGTAAGGCAAAAGTTGGATACTACAAACACATAGACACATTTTCATACATACGCATAATCTACTTTAATAATTCTATATTTAGAGCAGACAGAAGAGCCAGTAGAAGCTGGCTCTTCTACTTAATTTTAAATTAGGCTTTCTGTTTCAAGACAAGTTCATGTTGTTATAGCAGCACCAATGTCTTAAATGAAAGAGAAAAGGTAATGGGAAATTAATTCAATTCTTGTAATTCTGTTTGAAAGTGTCTTCGTATTAATATATGTTAGAAAATTGATTTCAGGAAGTTTCTCAATCATTATCAAGGACCTCTAGCTATGTATCTTTCTAAAGGTTGGTGGCCTACTTTCTTAATGGAAGCTATTACATGATATGGCTGTAATTTTTTTAAAAAAAAAACCTTTGGAAGTACTGAGAATGAAATAAGCAAGTTACATTAAATTAAGACTTTCAACCCAATGCTCACCCAAAAAGTTCTTCAGAAGGAAAAACAAAGGAAGACATAAAAAGTTTCACACAAGTCATATATCAGGGACAGTAATATATTCTTGGTTTCATACCTACTTTGAATGCTGGTTGACAAAGATGTCCAATTAAGGGTAGCATTTTAAAAAAATGTATGCTTCACCAATCTTATTGTTTAAGTGAAGCACTCCTTTGTGAATTAAAGTCATGCTGTTTTGAAAGCTCTTTTGCCCTTCACCTCAAGTGCAATCCTTCAATGAAGTTACAGAACATTAGGCTACTTTAACATTTGAGAATGCTAACACACTTTGTGAAATTCTTCATTTAAATTATTTACACAATTCTACTATAAATATTACTTTTAGGTAAATACAAAACTTTGATCATACTACATACAAATAATAAAATAGTCCAAGTAAAATACTGAACTCTTGGCAAAAGACTGGCAACAGCTTACAAGAACTATATAATAGTTTGGTAGGTGTCTTGCAAACCTGATCTGCAGGTTTTAAACTGAATCTAGCAAAGGAGGCAAACAATAGTGTGAAACATAGTACTAAAAAAAGGGGGAGAGCTATTTAGAATACTGAGACACTTTTTGTCAATATTAATGCAAAAAGCAAGAGCTTTCAGGTATTATCCAAACTTTTTGAAAAATTATGGATGAACCCAAAGCTAGAGGGCAAATATTCTTGTTTGCAAAAATGGGGAAATTGGGTCAAAGTAATTACAGAATGCTGAACTGATTTAATATTAGACAAAATGTAGTATCATACTGGGTTGCAATTTCAGAACATTAGAAAAGTATGTGTTGTCTTGCAGAATCTAGCATGAATTAATTCATCAGAAATAAATTATGTCAAGCAAATATGATACTTTTTGATAGAGTCACTAGTTAACAATGGGAATGAAGTATGCATAATATTCAACAAGCACTTGGTGACAACTCCAGTAAAATGTAGTGGAAAAAATGCCAAAATGATGACTCTACCAGTATATAGATATACAGCTAGTTGAAGAGTTATGCTCAACAAATATGGCATCAATGGTTCTGCATTAAACTTGAGTGATGTGCTTGGTTGCACACCAAGGTTTTGTTAGATATCCACTGCTGTTCAACATATTTTAACTGACTTGGTTCTTGGTTAAACTGACATAGAAAATATGACAATCATATTTATAACTGACACTGAGACAGAGGGTGGTGAGTAGGAGAAGACAGTTTTGATAAGGTATAATAAGTGCGAGAAACCACTCAAATAATTTCAAAATTAAGTGATTGTGAAAATTCAAGTGATGGGGGAAACCTTATGGCAACAGTATAATGAAAAATATCTGAGTGTCTTCATAGATTATAATTGAAACATGATCTAAATGAAAAAAAGCAAATGCAATCATTGTTGTATTGACAGAAATATAGTATTGAAATCAATAAAAAATAACTGCTGCTCCTTTCTATTCAATGTTAGTCAGATCATTCCAAGTGTTTTGTACTCATCCTGGAGCTCTGTATTTTAGAAAGTATATTGGCAAATTTGAATATGTATCATTGCATATTGCATTGCATTTTGTGGGGGGGAGAGTGTCATTTTAAATTCCAGTTCATCTTCCTTTGAAGGTATTTTTTTTCTTCTTGTATTACTGTATATTTTCTTCTTACACTATTTTACATTTATGGAGCAGATTGTTTTCTATGGTTTTGTCCCCTTGAAAGATACCAAATCCAGAAAATAGTGCTGGAGACAGGTCCATGATTCTGCTCATGGTATCTGTAGACTAGCATTTAAAGTATTATTTATTTATTTGTACCCCAACTTTATTATATTTACAAACAACTCAAGGCAGTGAACCCATTCAACATATCTTCCTCCTATTTTTCCCACAACAACAACCTTGTGAGGTGGGTTGGACTGAGATGGAATGACTGGCTTAAAATAACCCTGCTGGCTTTCATGGCTAAGGTGGAACTTGAACTCATGGTCTCCAGCTTAATACCCTAGTGCCTTAACCACTAGACCACATAGCTTTACTCTCCTATTGTCCTTCATATTTTATTAAGCTGAAATAAGAGTCTTTTTAACTTGATGACTGGGATCAGTAATGAACTGAAATGAAACAGTGCAATAATCTGAAGATAATTCAAACAAAATGAGAAGAATATATATTCAGTATGTTCTAGATTGGGTTTAGCCACTAAATGATCATATTCACAGTTATTAGCTGTTAATTTTCTAGGGCAGAATGGTTTAATTTTAGTAATTCATGCTCTAAATTGAGAATAGGTTATTTTGAAAGTATAGCTAGTTCAAAATACAGTTTTCATCTTCCGATTAAGAGTGAGGATACTATTACTGCCTCCCTTCCTCCCCCTACTTTTCAATATGTGGCCTAGAAATAAATAGTATGGTATATTATTGTTATAACTATGATTCTGTCTATTTCTACTTTGACCTTACTTATTTTGTACTCATTTTGAATTACTTGTCATATTAGAAGCCATGACAACACTACAATTTAACTGTCATAATAGTGTTTTATATGCCAAAATTGTAATAATTCAATTTGTTGCTAAAGTTGGTGCTTCAATATAGTACATTTGATTCAATGACTTTTATTTTATTTATTGGATTCAAGATATTTAGATATCTTACATCAGGATTAAGAAGACCAACTTCAGGTGTTAATACATAATTTTGTACTTTCATTTTCTTTTCAAATTTTAGAAGGTAGAATAGAGAAAAAAGTCTATAGAGAAAAGTCAGTGGAAATATTATTAAAACTTTTTTTGTTGTATTGTTTACTTCACTA